GTGGGGGGGGGGGGGGCCCGTCCCGGCCCTTGGGGGGGGGGGGGGGGCTGCTCTCTGTCCACAAGGGCCCTTCTCCCTCCCAGCTGGGCCTCCCCCTCCCTCCAGCTGTGGGTGGAGGGCGCCACCCACCCTGTGCCTGATGCCAGCGGCTCGGCTGGGCTGGTGATGACGGAAACAGCCCCTCCAGCCAAGCGGCCCCTTGTGTCCACAGACGGGGTGGGGGGGGGGGGCTGCAGGTCAGCTGGCAGGGAGGGGCCTGAGGGAGGGAGGCTTTGCCCCCAGACCCTCCTGGCAACCTTGACCCTGGTGGTCCCCACAGGTCTAGGGGCACAAAGGAGCAGGCGAGAGAGGCAGCTGAATCGGACACTGAACCTAAACCCACCTTTCCAGGTGAGCGGGGGGGGGCCTTCTGGCGCCCTGGAGGGGCCCCTGGCGGAGAGCCCCATGGACTCCTGAGCTGGGCCCCATGGAACTACGTGGCCCAGGGGGGAGGCCCGGCGGGGGGCAAGGGGGGGGAGTCTCCAGCAGAGCCCCTTCCCCGGGGGATTCCCCTTTGGAGAGCGAGGGGGGGGGGACACGGGGCCCCCAAAGGGGAGGACGGTTTTGGGCTCTCCTGGGCCCCCTTGCCCTCCCCCCCCCAGAGGTCTCACCTCCTCCTCACAGGCAGAACAGCCCCCCGGGGGGGGAGGGTGCTGGTGGGGTGAGATAAGGCAGTGCCCCCCCCCCCCCCTCTGGCTCCCTTCCGCAGAGCAGAGTCTGGCTCCAGGGTCCCTGCCCCCAGTCCGGAAGGGCCGCACTCTGCACATGCTCTGAGGGCTCTGCGTGTGGAGGTCCTGCACTTCCTTCCTTCCAGGGCCCAGGCGACTGGAACGGGCGGGGGGAGGGGTAGGAAGCTGTGGGGGCCTCCTGGGAGCCGCCAGGTGAAGACCCCTCCCCCCTCCCAGGCAAGATGGCGGAAGCCCACCAGGCGGTCGCCTTCCAGTTCACCGTCACCCCCGAGGGGGTGGATTTCCGGCTGAGCCGGGAAGCCCTCAAGCACATCTACCTGTCAGGCCTCCATTCCTGGAAGAAACGCTTCATCCGTCTCAAGGTCAGCTGGGAGGGGGGGAAACAGGGGGAGGGGGGGTTGTGGGCAAATCGGGGCAGCCCCTCCCCCATGCCCTGGGGTTTCGGTCTTGAGGGTGAGCAGGGCCGGACCTTGGCTGGCAGCCTTCCTGGGAGCCCCCCCACTTCCCTGGCAGGCCGGGCATCTGGGGTGGGGCCACCCCACTTCTGCCAGGGACCCCAACTGTGGCGTTGCTCGCCCGGCTTATACGGGGCAGAGGAGGGGCAGGCAGGGTTGCCCCCTGCCTGGGGGTTCCTCTCCCCCTGTTTCCACAGGGACCACGGGGGGGGGGGGGGTCCTCCGTCCTGCCAAATGCCGCCCTCTGACTGGGCCGACTTCACAGAACAGCTTCCTGACCGGGGTGTATCCCGGCTCCCCCTCCGGCTGGCTGGCCATCACCGCCGTCACCATGGGCAGCACCTGGGTCCATGTGGACCTCTCCAGGGGGGCCATCAGCAGAATCCAGAGGCACCTGCTCACCAGGTGAGCCCCAGGCCCGGCCCCTCCCCCTCCCCCCCCAGAGGGACCGGGCGGGGGAAGCTCTGCGGAGCAAGGCAGCTCCCAGCTCTCCTGACCTTTGCAAGGGGGCTCCTAGGGAGCCGCCACCCCACCCTCTCCACAGTTCCATGCAGCGTTTGGTGGGGGTTGGGGGCCCAGGGGGGGCAGGGGAACTCCCAGAGGCAGCCCAGGGCCTTGCCCCCCTCCCTCAAGGACCCGGCTCCCTCCCAGGTAGCCTTCTGGACCGCTGAGCGTGGACGCCCTCCCCCCTCCTTTCCTGGGACGGCAGGGCCCAGGTCATCAAGCCCACCCCACCTGCCTATTGCACGCTCCTACACCATCCCCGACAGGGGGCTATCCTGCGCCCCCCCCCCACCCTTTGCAAACCTCTGCTGAGGGGAAGACCCCCCCCCCCTCCAGCCACTGGCCCGCCCTGCCCAGCCCGGAAACGCTCTGCCTGGCCGGTGTCCCCCCAGCTGGAGCTGCTACTTCAACCTCCGCCAGCAGACCCTCCTCAGTGCTCTGCTCTTCTCCACGGGCGTCTGGATCCTGGGCATCTGGCTGCGCCGCCAGATGTTGAAGCTGCTGCTCTCCTACCACGGCTGGATGTTCGAGCCCCACGGCAAGACCAGCTTCAGCACCAAAGCCTGGGTGGTGAGGCCCCGGGGTCTGAGGGGGCCCCCTCTCCGGCTCCCCCCCCAACACCCACAAGAGGGGGGAGGGAAGGGCTGGGGGGCAGATTGTTGGTGGGGCAGCCCGGCCCCCCCCCGTCCCCTCCCCACCTGACAGCCCTCCCCTTGCAGGCCCTGGTGAAAGTCATGTCCGGGCGCCACCCGCTGCTCTACAGCTTCCAGACCTCCTTGCCCAAGCTGCCCGTGCCCCGTGTGGAGGACACCATCCAGAGGGTGAGGGCAGCCCCCCCGGCCCCTCCCCCGGCCCATGGCGGCCCATGGCAGGGGAGAGGCCAGCTGCCCTGCGCTGGGAGGGCCTCGGGGGGGGGACAAGGGGGCTCTGCCTTGAGTGTGGGTCAGGGGCTGAGGAGGCAGAGATGGGGTGGCACAGGGAGGACCCCTAATGACGGGGGGTGCAGAAACTGCCTGCAGCCCCCAGATTCTGGGCTCTTCCTGCTGGGAGGGGGGCAGGCAATGCCCAGTGGCTGCTTCTGCCCCTGCCCAGTGGGGCCCAGGGACAGTCTGGGTCCCGGGTGGGGGACTGGGGGGGCGCAGGGAGTGGACCCCGATGGCCCTTCCTTTGCCTGCAGTATCTGGAGTCTGTGCGGCCGTTGCTGGACAAGGAGGGGTTTGAGCAGATGGGGCACCTGGCCAGGGACTTCCAGCAGCAGGTGGCGCCCCGGCTCCAGAGGTTCCTAGTCCTCAAGTCCTGGTGGGCCACCAACTACGTGAGTCCCTTGGCTGGGCTGACCCCCCCCACACACCCCCACGGGATGGCCTGCCCGGGGGGACCCTGCTCCTTGGAGGGTGGCCTGTGGAGGGAGAGCCCCCAGGAGAGGGCCCCCACCCAGGCAGCCCCTCCCCCTTCTCTCCCGCAGGTGAGCGACTGGTGGGAGGAGTACATCTACCTGCGGGGGAGGGGCCCCATCATGGTCAACAGCAACTACTACATCATGGTGAGTCTCGGCCGCTGGGGGGCTCGGCCAGGGGGGCCCCCGGCTGCTGGGGCAGGGCCTGTTGGGGGGGGGCTCCCCTGCCTGCCAGGTCACCGGCTGCTTCCACCCCCCCCCGGACAGGACTTTCTCTACATCACCCCCACGCCCATCCAGGCGGCCCGAGCAGGCAACTCCGTGCACGCCATCCTGAAGTACCGGCGCCAGCTGGACCGGGAAGAGCTGGAGCCCGTGAGTCAAAGGGGGGGGCGGAGGGCTCACAAGGGGCCTGGCTCCCCACACCTGGAGGGAAAGGTGCCCCGTGCAGAAGGGCCGGCTGCCCCCCTCCCGCCAAGCCCCCTTCCCTTCTGCAGAGATGATCCCTGGGATTCCGGGGGGCAGGGGGAGGGCGGGCGGGGGGGCAGGGTTAGGGGCTCTTTAGAAGTCTCCCCCCAAACTGAAGGATCAGTGTCCCCCGTAAGGGAAGGAGCTTTTGGGGGGGGTTCCCTCCAGGTGGGAAGTGGGGGGTGGGCAGGGAGAGGTTGAACCCCCCCAAAGCAGCCCCTCCCCTGCTCCATGGATCACGTTTCCTGTCCGGTCCTTGATCAGTACGGTTGAGGCCGGGGGTTCTGTGCCTAAGCAGGACGTTCCTTAAGTGGGTTTGGGTGGCCTTTCTTGCCGCGGTCATTAAGTGAACCTGCGCACTCCTGCCCCCCCCCTTGCCGGGACTCTGGTCCGCCTTGCCCGGTGCCCCTTCTCTGCTCCCCCAGGTGGGTGGGCAGACCTTGGGACGCTCCGGCCCCCTGATGCCAGGCTGGGCCCCCTCGGCCCGTTTCCCCCCCGCAGGTGATGGCACTGGGAGTGGTGCCCCTGTGCTCCTACCAGATGGAACGGATATTCAACACGACCCGCATCCCTGGCAAAGAGACGGGTGGGTGGCACTGGGGGTGGTGGTGGAGGTCACACACACACACACACGTGTGCCGTTCCAGGAGGGCTGGTTTGTGGGGGGGAGGGGGCAGGCTGCGTTCTCCCTGCTGAGCCAGGCCAAAGGCTGCTGCCAGGTTGGGGGGCTCCCACGCTGGCTCCCCCTGAGCCTGGCAGGGGTCTTGGCACGGGGGGGTGCCTCTGTGGGTCAGGCTCCTCCTGCCCCGTCCCAGGCACCCTGGGGGCTTCCAAGCAGGAGGAGGCCGGGGGACCTTTGGGCTTGGCAGGGGCCCCTGGCAGCGGATCTAGAGGGGGCTTTTGGGGGGTGTCCCTCAGGAGGTCCCCGAGTGCGGGGGAGAAGAACCCCTGAGGGTCCTGGGCTTGCCAGCCCCCATGCCTCCCCCTGCAACACAGGTAGTCCTCGAGTTATGACCACAACTGAGCCCCACCTGTCTGTCGTTCAGTGAGACATCGGCTAATGGAGTTTGGTCCCGTTTTACGACCTTGCTTGCCACCATGGTGAAGGTCGTTAAGTGAATCCCCCCCATCGCTTCTTTGCCTGTCAGAAGGTCACTGGAGGGGATCGGTCATAAATGCAAGTCACTTGCCAAGCGTCCGAAGTTTGACCCTCCCATGGTCGCAAGCCCCTTTTTTCAGTGCCGTTGTAACCTCAGAACAGCCACTAAATGGATGGTTGTAAGTCGAGGACTACCAGTAACGACTTTGACCTGAAATGAGAAACCGATCCAGATGGGGTCCAAACTTGGCCCCTGGGGGCGGGGAGGCCGGCCCTTCCTCATGGGGGGGACTCCTCTCTAGCCAAGAAGCAGGCGGGTTGACCCTTGACCTCAAGCCCCTGAAGGGAGGGGGGAGGAAAGGGGCCGGGTGACCTCTAGGTCAGCGTGGAGCAGAGGCCAGGCCCGCTGGCTGCCCCCCCTCACTCGCCCCCCCTCCCCCTCCCCAGACTCCCTCCTGCACCTGGCGGACAGCAGGCACCTGGCCGTCTTCCACCGGGGCCGCTTCTTCAAAGTCTGGCTCTACCAAGGGGGGAAGCAGCTGCCCCCCCGGGACCTGGAGATGCAGTTCCAGCGCATCCTGGACGACCCCTCCCCTCCGCAGCCGGGGGAGCTGAGGCTGGCGGCCCTCACCGCAGGGAGCAGGTAGCCCTTTACGGGAGGGGGGGAGGGAAACCCCCCAACTGCAGCGGGGGGGGCAGTGGGCACAGCTGGGGGGGCCCCCTGAGCCCTGGAGGCACCCGTGGCAGCCAGGGCCCCCCCTCCTCCTCCTGCCCCCCCTCCAGGGTACCCTGGGCCGAGGCCCGTGCCAAGTTCTTCGGGCGGGGCAAGAACCGGGCCTCGCTGGACTGCATCGACCGAGCCGCCTTCTTCCTGGTGCTGGACGAGGAGGCGCAAGGCTTCAACCCGGAGCGCGAGGAGAGCCTCAGCGAGTACGCCAAGAGCCTCCTGCATGGGCGCTGCTACGACCGGTGAGGGCATCCGGCTCCCGTTGGGCTGGGATGGCAGACGGGGGGGGGAGGCGTTTGGGATTTGACGGTTTTATCCCCTGCCTCTGCCATTTCCACAACCTGCTCAAGACGGCGGACGGCATCCCACACGCTTTCCTCCTCCTCCTCCTCCTCCTCCTCCTCTTTTCCCTACACCAACAACAACCCTGTGTGGTGGGCTGGGCTGGGGCTGGGGGTGGGGGCTGGCCCAAAGTCACCCAGCCAGCAAGACCTGAACTCACAGTTGGCTGCTTTCTAGCCTGGAGCTTTAGCTACGCGAGCAAACGCTTCCCTCTCCATCCTGGACCCTGGACTTTTGCCTCTCAGGGCTGGCCCCCTCCTGGGAAGTGGGGCCCCTTCCTCACCCCGGGGGGAGGGGGGACGACAGCCAAGCCCATCTTCCTGTGCAGGAGGGCATCTTGGTCCTGGGAACTCTGCATCCCCGAGACCCCCGCAGGGGGAAGGGCCGCTCCCTCCTGCCTCGGGGCCTCTGGGGCTTCCGGGGGTCGCCCAGAGCCGGGCCAGCTTGGGTGCAGGTGGGCTCTCTTCCCCAGGTGGTTCGACAAGTCCTTCACGCTGGTGGTCTACCCGAACGGGAAGCTGGGGGGCAACGCCGAGCACTCGTGGGCCGACGCTCCCATCATGGGGCACCTCTGGGAGGTGAGCAGCCCCCCCCCCACGTCCTCAGCCCTGCTTGGAGACCGGCTGGCTGAGGCTGACGGGGTGGGGAGTGGGAGGCCAGAGCAGCTGTCTAACCTGGTGGTGCCCTTTCTCTTCCTTCCTCTTCCTCCCTCCCTCCCTCCCGCTCACGGCCCAGTTCATGCTGGCGACAGACCAGATGCTCCTGGGTTACTGCAATGGCGGGCACTGCCAGGGGGTGCCCAACACCGATCTTCTCCCCCCGCAGCGTTTGGCATGGGACCTTCCCGAAGAGGTGGGTCTGGGCGCCCTGCAGAGTGGGGGGGCTGAAAGGGGCTCGGCGGGTTCTTACCTTAGGACCACAGCCCCTCCCCCCCCCTCTGCCCAGAAAGCAGGTGGGAGGACCCCACAACAGGCCCCATCCTGAAAACATCCGGGGGGGGGCTCCTTGGAACAAAGAAACTCTGCCCAGCCTTAGGCTCCTCAGCTAGGATGGGGCCCTTGAGGCCATCCAGTCCAGCCTCCTGTTGAGTGCAGGGATCCCCATTAAGTCTCCCTGCCAGAGCCCCCCCACCCCCCGGTCTTGGAGGGTTTGGTGCAAGGGGCAAAGCTGGCGCAGACCGGCACACGAGGGAGCTACTCTGGGTCATACGGGATGTTGTGGTTGCGGGTAATCCAAGTTGTGGGAGCCCCGCCGTAAACATGGCACGTTTGGCAAGCCAGAAGGTGGTCTCTTGGCTGCTTCTTGCGTCCAAAAAGGCCAGAATAGCACCCGGCTGACACCGGTCAGGACTCGTGGCAAAATTCACACAGAGGGGGGGAGCTTTCCTTGCAACCCCCTCCCCCCACACACCCACCCCCGGCCCCGTCTCAGGCGGATTCTCCCCGCAGTGCATCCGGGCCATCGATGCCGCCTACGGGGAGGCCCGGGCGCTGGCCGACGAGGTGGATTTCTGCTGCTTCTGCTTCAGCGCCTTCGGCAAGGGCCTCATCAAGAAATGCCGGACCAGCCCGGACAGCTTCATCCAGATCGCCCTGCAGCTGGCCCACTTCCGGGTGAGGAGGGGGCCCCGGCTGGGACGGCAGCGCTGGGAGCCGGGGGAAGCCGGGCGGGGGTCGTGCCGAGGGCTCCGGGTTCCTCCTCACCCGGCTCTCCTCCTCTTCGTCTTCCTCCTGGCCCCTCGGCTGCCCCCTCCAGGACAGGGGCCACTTCTGCCTGACCTACGAGGCCTCCATGACGCGGCTCTTCCGGGAGGGACGGACGGAGACGGTGCGCTCCTGCACCGGGGAGGCAGCGGCCTTTGTGCTCAGCATGAGTGACCCCAACTGCAGCGTGAGTCGTCCCCGCCCCCCCGCTCACTCGGCCCCCATCCTGCCCCGCCTGGCCTCTGCCTTTTGTGAGCCGGGGGGGGGAGTGTGCAGACAGCACCCGTTGCCCAGCCCCCCAGGAGGAGGAGGGGGTGCATTCCCCGAAAGGGGCGGCGCAAAGGGGGTGCCTTCAGGGGATCCCACGGAGGGCCGCCTGGTGGCTGTCCGGCTCTTCTGCTGTGGGCAGAGGCCGGGATTCAGATCCAGGGGGCTTCAGGCACAGCTGCCTGGCGCCCCCCCCTCGCCCAGCTGCCTCTCCAGCCACCTGGCAGGGGGAGGGCAAGGGGGGGGGTGAAACGTGGCCACCTTCAGAGCAGTAAACTTGGGCTCGGCGGGGGGAGAGAAGCATGGAAATTGGGCCCCCCTAGGCAAGGGAAGCTCCCCTGCGGGAGATGGGAGGGGGCCTGCGGTGGGTGGGGTCCCGATAGAGGAGGCAGGCTCAGGAGTGGGGGGGGACTGGGGAAAGGGGGCCCAACGGGAGCCCCCAGCACAGGAAGCGCCTCTTGGCAGCCTCTGCCCCTGCCCGCCCTGGAGAAGCCAAGCAGCTGGTCAGGCTGGGCTCACCCCCCTCTCCACCCACCCCCCACCCACCCCCACTCCCCCCGTAGCCCCTGGACCAGCTGAAGCTCTTCAAAGTGGCGGCTGAGAAGCACCAGCAGATGTACCGCCTGGCCATGACGGGGGCCGGCATCGACCGGCATCTCTTCTGCCTCTACGTGATGTCCCGCTACCTCGGGGTGAAGTCCCCCTTCCTGGACAAGGTGAGGGGGGGGGCAGGCTTTGGGGAGGGGCTCACCTGCCTTGAGGGCAGTCTGAGCGGGAGGCCGCCCTGTGGGGCTGTGGCTGGAGAGGGAAGAGAAGCGGGCTGACCCCCCCTCTCCCCCCCCCCAGGTGCTGTCCGAGCCCTGGCGCCTGTCCACCAGCCAGACCCCCCAGCAGCAGATCAAGATGTTCAGCCTGGAGGCCCATCCGGACTTCGTCTCCTCCGGCGGGGGCTTTGGGCCGGTGAGGGGGGGCGGGGGAGGCATGGAAGGGACCAAGGCTGGGCGGAGGGAGACGCCCAGGTCCTGGGTGGCACCGAGGCTGGCGGAAGTGAGGGAGGTGCCCGAGTGGGGGGAGGTTGCAAGGGCCTAGCTTCCCCCCACCCAGTCATGGGGGTCTCTCACCCGGGAGTGGGGGCCCTGGCCCCTTCTTGGCTTTGGGGATGAGCCGATACCTGCCCAGCGTTGCCACCTTCTGGCGGGGTGGGCAGGCCTTTGCCCAGGGGCAGCTGTGGAAGGCGGGGCAGGGTGAGGCTGGGCCCCCTTGGGGAGGTGGCGAGGTGCAGGCCAGAAGAGGCAGGGGGAGGGGCCAGGGGGAGGGGGAGGGGAGGACCCTGGCAAGGCACCCCAAGGCTCCTCCTCTAGCCCCCTTTCCCTTGTGCCCCCCATGCCCAGCGGTGGGTCCTCTGCTCTCCCCCCCCTCCCGCAGGTGGCTGACGATGGCTACGGGGTCTCCTACATCATTGCCGGGGAGAACCTGATCACGTTTCACGTTTCCAGCAAGTTCTCCAGCCCCGAAACGGTGAGTGTGCCCGCAGAAGGGCTGAGGGGGGCCACTGACCGGCCCTTAGGAAGAGCCACCCCAGGAGGCCCCTCGGCCAGCAAGCCTCGGCGCCCTTCAGGTGCTGCCCCTCCTGCCTTGACCGATGGCCCTTTTCTCCGCCCCGCCCCCCAGGACTCCAAGCGCTTTGGGACGAACATCCGCCGGGCCATGGTGGACATAGCCGCTCTGATGGACGTGCAGCCCAGGCAAAAGGCCCGCTGAGCTGGGTGCCCTTTGCCCAGAGCCAGAGGAAGCAGCCGCCGCTTCGGGGAGGCCATGCCGGATATCGTCCAGCCTGGGGCCAGCCGGCCGGCTGCATCTCCTGCCCTGCGGAGCTGCCCTGCGGGGGCTTCCTGGATTGGGGGGGGGAGGGCTGGGGGGGGCAGAGCGGTTGCCCTGTGATGTCACTCATAAAGGAGGATCGTTTGGGGGAGTCCCCGGAGTGAAGCCGCCTGATTTTGCCTGCAGGTTCCTTTCTTGTGGCGCTTTGGGGGGGGGGACGGCAGAGGCCCCACTGCAAAGGTCAGGCCAGACCCAGAGGCAGCCGTGCCCACTGCGACTGCAGAGCCATTCTCCCCACACACCCCGCCCCCAGCGGAAGACGGGGGGGGGGGCAGCCTTCACCCCTGGCAGCCCAGGTCCTCTTGCCCTGCGGGGCCCTTCCTGGGTGCCTGGGGGGTGCTTTGCTCCCCCTGTGCCCCCCCTGCAGAACGAGTGCCACTTCAGCAGGTGCAGGAAACGAGGCCTGTCCCCACCCCGCCTGATGGAGTGCAGTCTACAGGATGGTGGAGCGACCCAAGACGCCAGGCCTGGCCTTCCACTGTTTTTTTTGGGGGGGAGGGTGTTGAGGCTAAGCGGGTAGGATCTCCCCCCCCCCAAGTGCAGCAGCCCCAAAGCAGCCAAGGAGCCCCGTCCTTTGCTCAAAAGGGGTTTATTGTGAGATGTTGCGGGGACGGGAGGGGGGGGTGGAGGCGGAGGGGGGCAGGCCGGCTCTGGGCTTTGGCCATGCGAGGGAGGAGGCGGGTTCAGGGCTGGGCTCCCTGGGGGGTGGGGGTGGGGGCGGCCGCTGCCAGGCTCTTGCAGAGGAAGGGGTTCCGGTCGTAGCAGGAATCGTCGTCCCACAGCATGAACCCTGGAAGCAGAAGCAGGGAGTCAGGGCTGGGGGGGCTGGGGGCTGCCAGCAGGCTTTCCCGGGAGGGGCCCCTCACCAAGCCCAGAGGGGTCCTTGGCCACCGCTCAGCCTGTACCCCCCTTCGGTGAAAGGAAGCCTGTTAATAGGGGGCGGGGGGGTTGAGGCCGCCTGCGAACGTTGTCCTGACCAGCAAGGCCAACGCGGAAGCCGGGTTCACTTAGCAGCTGACAAGAACATTTGTCCAGTGGGGCAAAACTCCTTTAACAACCGTCCCACTTAGCAACACATTTTGGGCTGATTTGTGGCCGAGGTACGGTCAGATTTGGGGAACTGGGACGGGGTCTCCAGAGACCAGTGAGGGGGGAGTCCACTTGCCCCATTTCGGTGGGTTTCCTTGGGGCAGGGAGTCCCCAGACGAGCCCACACCCACCCACCCCCCTCTGGCCCTGGGCCTTACCGTAAGAGTCGTCCAGGGCAGCGCAGGCCTTCCAGGCGCGGCGGTAATGCTTTTCCCAGGCGGTGTAGCCCAGGGGGCTGCCGTCCACCCAAGCCCAGGTCCGGCTCTAGAGGCACAAGGCAACCCATCGAGAGCGGTCACTGGAGGAAGAAGCGGGGGGGGCAGGGGAGGCAGGGGCACCAGAAGCCCCACCCGGTCACTCACCTGGGATGGGAGGAAGAGCCCCAGCCAGACATCCTCGCGCTCCCACCACTGGGCCTTAGTCAGGAAGTCCGCCACGGCTTGATGCTCTTCGCGGGTCTGGATGGAGGCCAGGTGGCCGTTGTGGCTTTGGCAGAAGGCCTGGGGGGGGGGGAGGCAGAGAGGCTGCAGAGGAAGCCGACCGACTGCTTTCAAGGTGGCTCCACAGCAACGGGTCTCAACCGTGGTCACTTGAAGATGGGGGGGGGGGACTTCGACTCCCAGAATTCCCTGCTGCCTTCTTCCCCTGGCATTGCCCCACTCAGCAGCCAGCGGGTGGGCGAGGCTGAGTGCCCGTCCCCGGATGCAGAGGGCCCAATCCCAGCCAGGCCCCCTGCCCTGCCCGGACTCACCTCCGCCTGCTGCCAGTTCACCTCCTGCTCAAAGTATCCGTAGCAGTGGCCATTGTAGGAGAGCCAGCCGGCGGGGCAGGGGTCAGCTTGGGCATCTGCAAAGGCAGGAAACGGGTGAGCCCCCCCCAATGCCCACAGGTTGGGTTTGGAAAGGGAACTGCAGAGCCCCCCGGGGGAGGGGGGGGGCCCCCCCCCCCCCTCAAGTGGGGGGGGGGGGGGGGGTTGGGAGGACACTCACTGGCTGCAAAGGGTGCGAGCGCCAGGCAGACCAAGAGGCCGAGGCCGAGGGGGGCCATCCTCCGAGTCTTCAGAGAGGGGGGGGTCGTCTAAAGAGAGAGAAGGTGTGAGGGGAGGGCAGCCTCCGTGGGGGAGGGGACACCCCTCAACCACCCACCAGCCCTGATGGTAGAAAAGTAAAACGGGGTGGGGGCTTCTCCACTCTGCTCCAACGGGGGAGGGTCAGCCGTCCCGTCTCTTTCCTAAACTTACCTGCCCAGGTGTGACAGCAGCTGATTTCTTTCTGAGCTCCTGGGGGCTCAAATGCTCAACTGAGATAATGGATATAATTCCAGACCTTCACCGTCTTTCATTTCGACCTCCCTCCACTTAGCTGCTGTGGGACACTGATATCCACCTCCTCATACACAGAAACCTTTGCTAAGTTATGGGGGGGAGCGGGGTTTCGCCCCCAAATAAGGAAAACCTGTGAGGATGAGGGCCGAGGATCTGTACGGGCACGAAAACGCAGCATGGCTCAGCCTGATTGAAAATCATTTTTCTACAGAGCTGGTAACTTTTTGCGAGTTTTCCATTTTTCTTAATGGAAATATTCAAAGGAAAATATCCCGTACAATAAACATTGAAGCGTTAACAGTATAGCAGAACATCTGAGTTGGAAGGGACCTCGGCGGTCTTCTAGTCTGACCCCCTGCTCAGGTAGGAAAGCCTAGGCCATTCCAGGCAAAGGAGGGAACAGTTTCACCGAACTTCGAAACCCCCCCTGGGGAAGCATTTTAGAAGGATAAAATGGCAAGTAAAGGCTAGAGACGGTCCTCAGCTCTCACCACCCTGAAAAAAGTGAGTTACGGCCATTTTTCATACTTACGACCGTTGCAGCCTCCCAGTGGCCATGTGATCAGGATTCAGGCGTTGGCACCTGCCTCGTATTTGTGACCGGAATGGGGACCTTTTGACAAGCAGAGAGCCAGGGGGGAAGCCGGTCTCCCTTAACAACCGTGACAAGGGAGGTCATAAAATGGTGCAAAATCAACCAAACTCTTGCAGCCATCAAAGCCTCCCCAGGATCAAGGCGGCCGTTTCATGACTTGTGCCCAATTTTACATGGTTGTTAAATGAATCACCACTGTGGTTAGGTGAACCGTGTTTGTCAGAAACCGGCCACTGCGTGACCCAGGGACTTGCCCAGCGCCTGGATTCTGGGGCTGCTTCAGTGTTGTCTGAGGACCTGTAACTGGCCACTAAAGAAACGGTTGCAAGTTGAGGATTTCTTGTGCAGGGATTTGCTTGCCTTGGGGGAGGGGGGGAGGGCGACAATCCTCACCCCTTGGCAACTGTTTCTGTCGGGGGGGTGTGTGTGGGGGGGGGGGGATACCGCAAAGTGAGGGGAAGTTGAAAGAAAAGATTGGGAAGGTGTGGAATTACAGCAATTCTCACCGTTGAGCACCTGAGTCCCCAGCAAGCACAGAAAGAAGTCAGAGGCTGTCGCACCTGGGCAGGTAAGGTTACAGTGAAGGAGAGGTGGAGGCAGGTGGCCCCTTCCCCTAGTTCAAGGGACAGGAAGGATGCAAGAGGAGTATTTTGAGAAATGGCGTCTCAAGCGGCTGCGTTCCCTTCGTGCCCTGGGGTCTTCTACCACGTCACCCGAGGGCTGTGCATGCTTTTCAGGCCATCTTAGTGGGGACATCGATTAGAAACAATAAAATAGCGGGTAGTTTCTGAACACGGACAGAGCGCAAGATCGGTGGCTCAGGGTTGAGCTGTGGTGTCTCTGAATTGGGGGGTTTCCTTCCAGACGTTCAGTAAAGGGTTGAATTGAACTGAAAAGCCACACAGAAATAGCTTGGAGCTGGAATTTCTAGGAGGTTATTGAATTACACACAGCACAGAGTTGGGCTCGGAGACAGCAGGAAAAACAAAGTACTGGATGAGGTAACGTTGTGCCAGGAGCCTTGTGGGGCCTGCAGGTGTTGGCTTTTTAGGAGTCTTTCCTTTTGTGACCCAAGAGCTGGGAGAAAGAAAATCTTTGGCAGGGACTGAAATGACTCTCCGCAACTGTGATTTGCACCCCCGGCTCACGTTCCTGTGTCATTCGCCGCATGAGAAAAGATGTAACATGAACCCATCCACCTATTGAAAATGAGGTCGTCGTCGAGGCCCGCTAAGAAAGGGCTGCCCTGGGTCTGCCCCTCAGCCCTCTGCACATCTGCCGACCCCGGGGGTCTCCGACCTTGGCCGCCTGAAGCCTGGCGGCCTTCAGCTCCCAGAATTCTCCCGCGAGCGTAATTCTGGGAGTTCAAGTCCACAAGTCTTCAAGGGCCCAAGGTTGGAGCCTCTGAGCTAGGCACACGCGCTTCAACGTGAGGTTGAAAAACAGCCGCGGGCAAGAGCCACAGGCAGAGCCGACAGGGCTCTGGCGGTCAGTGCAGTGGGAACTCTCCTAGTTGCACCTCATCCATAGCGTGGCCGAAATAGATCCACCCCCACCCCGCTTTCGCAGCCCGCTTGCATCCCGACTCTCTGGGGGGCCAAATTAAGGGTCCCCCTTTCCTGCATCTTTGCAAAACAGGAGAAGAAAAGACACTTCTAGTTTTCCTGGTAATTGCCAGGACATTCAAAGGGAAGGCGGGTCTGGGGGTAGGGGGTGGGGTGGGGGTACGTGGGACCCTCCCCTTCCCCTAGAAAGGAACCGATGGACTCCGCCCCACCACGGCTCCCCATAAGCCCACCGCTCAGGGGGCAGAGTGGCTGCCGGGAGGCCCCCTCGTAAAAGCATCCCTACCTGAGAATAGCTCGGGTCGAGGGGCCAGAGAGGGAGGGCCGGGGGTCTGGCCAGCCCGCTCTAAAGACCCGTGTTTGTCGGCTGGGGCTGGAGGACCGGAGGGGCTGGAGGGGCGCGAGGCGAATTGTCCCATTCCGGCCCCGAGGGCTCTCCGGCTTCTCTTGGGCCTCTCCGGGGTGCTGAGGTCCAGCCGCAGCTGGAGTTGATTTGGGGCTGGCAAGCAGAGACGCGCGTCCCCCCCCCTTCCCGCTTCCTCCGGGCGAAAGGGCCGGGCACTGGGCCATCGGGGGTCTGGGGGGGTTCAGCGTCGAGGGGGCCAGGCGCAGCCTCGAAGAGCCCCAGTCCTCCACCGGGAGGGGATCTGCTTTTCCGCCCGTCCCAAGCAGGAAGAAGGGAGTTCAGGCTGCCAGAATCCGAGCCTCGTCCTGGGCGCCCTCCGGGCGCGTCTCCCCGACGGACCTGCCACGCTCGGGGGCCGTTTGGAGAAGAGAGGCGGGGGGCTCTGGAGCGGGGAAAGCCACGGAAAGCCCCCCCTCCGCCGGCCGAGCGCGCGGGCCTCCTGGCCGGGCTGCCCGCTGGCGGTCACAGGGAAGCCCCCGCTGAGCCTGGCCCCCAAAGGGACGGGGGGGAGGGGGCGGCCAAAACAGCGGGCCCTTCCACTCGCCCCCTGCGCCCCATCGGAAGCCGCGATGAGTCGGAAGAGGACGGGAGCCACTCACCGGTCCTGTCGCGCCGGGAGGAGAGCAAACCCTGGGCAGCCGAACCGGAGAGAAGAAGAGGAGAGGAGCGGCTTCCCCGGGCTTTATAAGCTGACCCGCCCCCGCCCCTCCCCCGCCCCCCCCCGTCCCCCCCCCCCCCCCCCCCCCCCGCCCCCCAAAGGCAGCCTGCTGGCCAAGCTGGCTCCGAAAGATCTTTTTTCATTTAGCTACTAAAGGGGGGGAGGGGGGGTCAATATATCAAAATTATATGAAAAAACGGTATGAGGTTTAGCCCTTCCTTCCCCCCCCCCCCTGCTTTTTCAAAGGCAAGTGGACTTTGTTTTGCCTTGAAGACGTGTCGCTTCTCGTCCCAGAAGCTTCTTCCGTTCTGAACTGAAGAGGGTTTTCTTCCAGGGAAAACCAGGAGGGTCCAGTGGCCTTTTGGAAAAGCAGCCTTGGGGCCCCCGTGGCTGAGTGTCAGAGAACCTCCGTGGACAAGTGGTCCCATGCCTGGTGAGCCTCTTCGGGACCCCCGTTTGCCTCTCCGAGGACCGGAAGTCCCTCGTCCCGGGTCATTTGTCTCCTGGGTGAGTTGCTGCCCCCCTGGCCTGTCAGCAGGTGCTTCGGGGAGCCCAAACGTTGTGTGTCTGCTTCAGATGAAGAGAGACCGAAGGCCTCTGCCCTCAAGTGAGGCATCCAAGGGGCCTGCAAGATCACACACACCCACCCACACACACACACCCCGTTGGCTGTAGCTTCCTCCCAAAGGCCAGGCTGATGCGGAGTCCCCTCCCTTCCCAGTTGGGAGAACAGGGGCGCCAAAGGGCAGCTCTCGGCTACCAGAAGTTGCCCCCCAAATGCCTTCTTCTAACCCAGGACTCACCCAGAGAGCCAAAAGGGCCAGCTGGCAGCCAGGTGCCCCTCCGCCTCCATGCCCCTCAGCCGAACCAGGTGTGCAGGTATTTGACCCGTGCACAAGAACTCCCGTCAGGGAGATGGCCAGCCCCTCCCGGGGCCCCAGCGGGCCCAGCCCTCCAGCTGCCCCTGCGCTCGGTCGGCTCCCTGGTCAGGCCCGTTTAGCTGTCTTCCCCTCGTCCCGGAGGTGCTTCCCAAAAGGCAGCTGGACGTTCCTGCTTTTTTCCCCCTTGAAAACGTTTCACGCCTCATCCCAGAAGCTTCTTCAGTTCTGAAGAAGACTGCAGAAGCGAAGAAGCCTCTGGGATGAGAGGTGAAGTGTCTTCATGAAAAAAAAAAAAAAACCCGAGAAAGTCCAGTTGTCTTTTGAAAAGCAGCTTTGGGGCTGCAGCCGTGACCTGGAGGGCCGAGAGCTTCTGCTGACCGCCTTCCCTTTCTTTCCCCAGGCTCCAGGGCCTTCGCTTCGGGGCCCCTTTGATCCCAGAGCAGAGGCCGCAGCCCCTCTGCCCCTCTGGGGAGGGGGCTTTCTCCCCACAAGGGGGTCTGCAGTAGCCGTGGGCTGCCCGAGCCCCCTCTGGGGCCACCCTGGGCCCCCTCCCCTTGCAAGGGGTCCACTTTCCTGAGGTCACCCAGGCCCCAATCGCTTGTCCACCTTCATTCAGAGTCCAACCCCCCCGAGAGACGGGGGGGGGGGGGAGAGGGGGGGGGCTGGGCTGCTGTGGCTCAGTCAACTCTTTGCATATCATCCAAATCATAATAAAGGACAGACGTGATGCAGGCAACCCCCCCCCCCTTACATCCATTTGCTTAGTGACCATCTGAAATTACGATGGGTCTGGGGAAAGTGACGTTTTCCCCATTTACGACCGCTGCTGCCTCCCCCACGGTCACATGATCAGAGTTCAGGCACTTGGCGACTGGTTCACATTTATGACGGTCATAGCGATCGGGGTCACAGGGTCCCCTTTTGAGCCCTTCTGACCAGCAAGGTCAACAGGGGAAGCTGGATTCACTTAATGACCATCTGACTGACTTAAGAACTGCACCAGGGGTGGGATGTAAATTCTTTTACTACCGGTTCTGTAGGTGTGGCTTGGTGGGTGTGGCTTGGTGGGCGTGGCAGGGGAAGGATATACTGCAAAATCCCCCTTCCCTCCCCACCTACTGACCTGCTTTCCAGCTCCCTTCTCCTGTGCAGGGCAACCAAAGGAGACCCAGCCGATCAGCTGGGACTCCATGGGAGGCGGAGAAGAGATGGGGTTGGCGAGGCCGGTCAGAGGCGGGATTGGCCGCTTCTCCGAACTACTCAACATTTCTGCTACTGGTTCTCCAGAACTGGTCAGAACCAGCTGAATCCCACCTCTGGAGTGCACCGATTCACTTAATGGCTGTGGCAAGAAAGAAAAGGTTGTACAATGGGGCAAAACTCACTGAACCAATGTCTCACTTAGCAACAGAAATTTGGGGCTCAATTGTGGCTGTAAGTCGAGGACTGCCTGTATATCCAGAAGGCCTGAGGCTGCCGGGAAGCCTTCTGACCAGCCCTTCCTTCCCACCCCGGCCAACCCGGGGCCAGGCGGAGGTCTTTCCTCGACAGCCCTGGGGAGGCCAGCAGCATCTGGCGACGGAACCACCAGGCAGCCCAGAAGCCTCCTTGGCCCCAGGACCCCCGCTAATCTCCCTTGTGGGGGCAGCCCAGACGGCTGGAGCTGCTTCTTGGGTGAGCAATTCCAACTAGGCGAAATATTCAGCCCTCCAAGCAGTCAGCGCTCCTCCTCCTCCTCCTCCTCCTCCTCCTCCTCCTCCTTTGCTTCCAAAGAGCGGCACACCAGTGGTTGGGGGCTCTCCTATTTGTTTTGAACAATGGACGAGGGAGTCGGCCGCTCTTCTGGACAGGAGGAGGAGGAGGAGGAGAAGGGGTCCTTGGCTTCTCCCGGAGACCCCAAATCAGCCTCCCGAGCGAGGGCATAGCCAGTGCCACCAACGGTTAGAAGCCCACAGCTGCCACCACCCAATGAAAGCCCCTTTTTACGCAGGTTGCCTACGTGATACCCGTAAAGGGGGCAGAGCACAGAAGTTGCCCAGGAACAGAGGCTGCCTGGAATCTTCCACACACGCACACACACACACACACACACCAAGTGTAGGTGGCCCCCTCTGCCCCCCGCCCAGGGCGGGGCTGCTCTGGGCTCTCCTCGATAGGCAAGGGGGCCCTGGCAGCCACCAAAGATGGGCTGGCCAGTTGGATGCCTTGCAAGGGGCTCAGACCTGAACTCGGTCCTGGCACCTGCCGGCTGCGCCCTAAGAGGGAGCGCAAAGGTTGAGTCGTGGCCCCAGCGGCCTGGACGGCTGGGTCTCAGATGGAGGCAGGGAAGGCGGCTGCAGGGGGGGCCGCTGGCTCTCCACGAGGCCGCCTAGACAGGCCTCGGCAGCTGGGCATTTGGAAGCCTGCTTTACTCGCTCCATCGCCAGCAGAAGAAGAGAAACGGTAAACAACTGCGCCAGGGAAACGCAAGAACTTAAAATCCCACCTCGTTCCCAGATACAGAATAAAATATCGGAGTCGGAAGGCACCTTGGAGGTCCTCTCGTCTAGCCCTTCTAGTCGCCTTCTTCAGGGCTGTCATAACTTTGTACCGTCACTAAACGAATGGTTGTAAGGCAAGGACTGCCTGTGCATTCCCAGGGCAGAAACTCCTCCTGGGGGTGCTTGGCCCTCTTGAGGGAAGGGGGAACAAAGGGGGGGGCTGCCCTTTGGGTGGCTTCTCTGGGATCATCCGAGGGCTTTGGGGGTCACCCTCACCCCCCCCAGAGGACCCCCCTCTTCATGCAAAGCGCCCAAGAGCCCCTCTGCAGCAAGTGGGAGGCAGCCGAACCGGAGGGAGCCAAAAGCTCTGCCTCCCCAGCTCTTCCAGACTTGGCAAGGGGGGAGGGAGGTTGGGGGCTCCGTGCCCAAGAAAAGGGGGAGGGAGATGCCCCTCCCTGCTGGCAGGAGGGGCACCCAGGCCTTCAGCTGCCAGCTCTCCCCCCTCCCCCCACCCGCCTGCAAGGCTGCGCTTGGATCCCTGGGATGAGAACAGGAGGGGGGCAGGAGGAGGGGGGCCGGGGGTCTTTCCGGAGCCACATCAGCCACACTCTGCTGCGCACCACAGTTGCAAGCGCCCCCGTTTGCTCTTTCTCCTCCCTTCTTCCCCTTGTTTTCATTTGCACTTCTGCCTTCCCTATTTCCGTGCACCAGTAAAATACCCAAACACACAACTGCAGGCGTCCCATCCGGTGGGGGGAATCCATTTTGTTTCACTGCCGGTTCTGTAGGCGTGGCTTGGTGGGCGTGGCAGGGGGAGGAGACTGTGAAATCTCCAGTCTGAGGTGCTTTTGCCGGTTCTCCGAACTCCTCAAAATTTCCGCTACCGGTTCTCCAGAACTGGTCAGAACCGGCTGAAGGCCACCTCTGGTCCCATCCCGAGACATGGTGCTTGGACTGATTTTATTATTCGTTTATTATGCATTTGTGTCCTGCCTTCCTGGGCCTCTTGGGAGGATCGATCTCGCATCTCTGCTTGCTCCAGAGGGAGGTCTTGCACCCCCTCCCCAGAAAGGAGGTCCAATCTCCAGCCGGGGGGCCCAGGGAGGCTCCCAGCTCAGGTCTTCCCAGCAGGATGGCTCTTCTGCGGAGGATAAAATCCACCCAGCTCTGCTTGGTGGGACTTGCTGCACTGTGAGTTGCCAACTCACAAAACTTGTGCTCAAAACACAACTTACGTAAGCCCCAGCCAAGAATGTACAGCACACACACACACACACACACACACACACACACACCATTTCACCCAGCCAGCGGCCCTTCTTCCTACGCCTTGGCCGCTTTGGGTGGGTGGACTTTAAACGCTGGCTGGGGAGTTCTGGGAGTTGGTCCAGCCACCTTGGCTGGGAAACAGGGTGCAGTGGGGGCCGGCAACAGCTGGATGCTCGGCAGCCTCTGAAGCCAGGAAGGATCCAGCTTCAAGACAAACTGCTGGATTCGGCTTCGGGAACAGCTGGATTGTCCTTGGGGTTTCAGTGTGGGGGGAAGTTCAGCTGAAGCGATTGGTTGGATTCCCCCCCCCCCCTTCTTTTTTCCCTCCTGCTGAGAAGCCTACTCCCCCCCACATCTGCCTGGGAGGAGGGGGTGCCCAGGACGCAGTGGGGGGGTGGGCCGGAGAAGTGGAGATGGCTGCTGGACACCGCCTGCTTCGCCCCCTGCCCATATCCCTGCCTTGGTCCGCTCCAGGGGCCTCCAACCTTGGCCACTTTGAAGACCTGTGGACTTCAACTCCCAGAATTCCTCAGCCAGCTTCTGGGAATTAAAGTGGCCCCCGTTGGAGACCCTGATCCAGTCTGTGAAGCTGCCTCTGAGGACAGGCAGGGACCCAGCCTGGCTCACTAGCTGTGTGTTGTGGGGTGAACGGGGGGGGGGATCCCCTTGTCCACTTCACAAGGCCCACGTGAGCCCAGGACTCTCTGGCCACGGCTGGACTTCCACCTGGGATCCCAGTCAAGGACCACGTTCCCATGGCTGAGCAAGGCGGAGGTCCAGGGAGTCTGGCCCTTTCTACGGCCTTTCTGGCCACCATTGTTAAGTGGATCGCCACAGTCGTTAAGTGAAGCGAGCCCGGTTGTTCGATGTCCTCCTGGATTTGGCTGGTTAGAAGGTCACCAAAGGGGGGGGTCCCTTGACCCCGGAGACGGCCGCCCTCATAAACACGAACCGGATGCCAAGGGACTGCATTTGTGTCCTGCAACCCCAGGGAGGCCGCAACGGTTGTGGGGGGGGGATGGGCCTCGGTCACTCCTTGCAGGGCCCTTGTAACTTCAAAAGGCCACTAAGCGAACTCTTGTAAGTTGAGGACAGATCTCAGGTGGTCAGGAAAATCGGGTGCCACAGGAAACCCTCCCTCCCTCCCCTCTTGGAGCCCACCGCAGGGGTTTCTCTCCAGACCCCTCCCTTAATTGGAGGGAGGAGGAGCAGCAGAGGGCTCCTCCAGAGGGCCTCCAGCATTCGAGCCACGGCTGCCCCAAAGGCGCTTTCTCCAAACTGGACTTTCTCCGTTTGTTTCCCTTGAAAGCGTTTCGCTTCTCACCCGAGAAGAACCGGAGAAGCTTCCGGGAGGAGAAGGAAAAGGCCTCCCAGGAACGGAACCAGAGGCATCCGGTTGCCTTGGGGGAGAAGCTCCTCTGAGAGAGGCAGGAACACAGGCGAGCAGGGAAGCCAAGCGGCCGGAGGTCCCAGCCCAGAATGCAGCACCATCAGCGGGATTTGGAGGCTCCACGGCCTGTTTGTGCCAAAATGCCGGAGATCGGCGCTCTCCCTCCAAGAGGTGGGGCAGATTCTCCCAAGCTGATGTGCTCCAGATGTGCTGTTTCGGGATCCTAGGAACTGCACATCAGCAAGGGAGGGAAACCGCCCGACATTAGCCCAGGTGCAAGGTCGGGAGAAGGGGAGGGGCTGTGGGCTCAGCCCCCCGTGGGAAGGGTCCCTGCCCCCCCCTCCCCAACACGTCTCCCGTAGCAGAGAGAGGGCAGGAGGGGCTGCTCAAAAGCTATGAAGAATGGAGGCAGGATCTGGGCCTGAAAGAGGGAGGAGGGCCGGTAGCAGCCTTCCAGTCTTTGGGGGGCTGCCCCAGAGAAGGGGGGTGGGGGGGTCAAGCTGCTCTGCAAAGCCCCTGAGGGCCGGACAGGAAGGAGGGGATGGAAGCCAACCCAGGAGGGAAGCAACCTGGACTTCAGGAGAGAAACTTCCAGACTGTGAGAACCCTTAACCAGGGGAGCAGAGGTTTGTGGGCGCTTCACCACTGGAGGGGCTCGAGAAGAGGCTGGACAGCCACCCGTCTGACATGGTAGAGGGTCTCCTGTTTGAGCAGGGGGCTGGACTAGAAGACCTCCCGGGTCCCTTCCAGCTCTGTCATTCCGATTCGGAGCTGGTTTTGTGCCACAGGTGTGGAGATTTCCCAGGGAGGGCAGGTGGCTCAGCCTGAGACCAGGAAAACCTGGGCGGGAAAAGGGGCAAACGCTGGAAGGTGTCAGAACCTCCTTAGGCATAGAAAGGGGGGGTGGGGGTGGAGAAGGGGGGGTGGGCTCTATTTCTGAGGCTGCAGGACCGGCTCCTCCTCCCCCCCCTCCTCCACCCGGGATGGCCCCGCCTGACCCAGCCTGCCACGTCTGGAGATTCCAGCCTCAGGACGGGGAGGAAGGCCAGAAAGGCAGAGGAGGAGGAGGAGGCCCGTCTCCTAGGATCCAGATGCCTGGACGGAGGGAGGCTTTGCTTGCCAGCCGGGAGGGAAGCCACCGGCTGAGCTTCCACGCAGCAGCTGCAGGGGCGGGCGGGCCTTCCTAGCCTGGGGAAGGGGCTGCCCCATCAGGCAGGGTGGCCTGGGAGCACCTGCTGCCCCTCCCAGAACTGCAAGCCAGGAGGGGTCAGCGTGGGGGGTGGAGGGGGGGCTCCTCCCGGCCAGGCAGGACCACCCAGCTCAGCTGCAAAAGCTGGGAAAGGCCAGGAGCTGGAGAGCTTGGCCAGGCCAGAGAATTCCTCCCGGCCTGCTTGGAAGGCAGGGAAACCCGCTGCCTTTCCCCCCTCCCTCCCCCGAAGGTGCAGCGGTCAGTCCGGCCCAGCCTGGTCTTCCAGGAAAGCGAGACTCTGGACTCCAGTGGCAGCAAAGAGGACACTTTTATGCTTCCTCAGTTCCTTTATTCTTTTGCAAGTCAAGTGGCTACAGGAGATCAAAGCCAGAGCTGAGGGTTTGCAGGCCTGAGACCTCCCGGTCCCCCCGTCCCCCGCTCCCGCTTGTCCAGGGCTCATCCAAAGAAGCGGTTGGGGTGACTCCCCCTGCCAGGGAGGGCTGGGTCTCTCAGGCCCCCTGGCCTTGAGGTGGTGAGCTGAGGTCTCAGGGTGGCCCTAAGCTTCCTTTGGGGCCACTGGATCCCCCACCCACCCGGAGGACGGCAGCTCTGGCAGCAGCAGCCGCAGAGGAGCCCCCCTCCCGTGCAGGCAGGCGCAGAGCCTGGTTTCCGTTTTGCCCCCAAATTGGTTTGACCGCCCTTTGGATTACTGGGGGGGGGTGAAAGGGAAGGGGGGACGCTAACCCTAAGGTTATGCCGAGGGGGAAAGCAGCATCTCGCCCCCCCCAGCCCCCCCTCCCCACATTCTGACTCCTTCATCTGTGGGGGGGGGGAGACACTCGCTCAGCGGCTGCCTCCAAAGCCGGGCCCAGGGCCAAGCCCCCTCCTGGTCCCCCTCTTCTGGGGGATGCTCCGGATGAAGCCTCCCCCCACCCTGCAGGACGCCGCTCGCCACCAACTTCCCTCCCCCCACCCAAAAGCAGATCCTGGAGGCGGGGTCGCCCCCTGGGTGGACATCTGCCACCTGCCCTGGGCAAGGGAGGGACCCCAGCCCACTCAACAGCTGAGGCACCGTTTCCAGGTGACGGGGAGTCCGAAAAAGTTGAGGGGGGGGAGGCAGGCGGGAGGAGGGTTGGGGGGGGTATTAGAAGCCCCCGCACCCCCTCCCCGCCTTGGCTGTGCCCAGAGACATCCAGCAGAGTTAGCTGCCCCCCGACCGCCCCCCGCCCCGCCTCCTCGGCAAGCGGGCGCCACTCCTGGGCCGGGTCCAGCCGGCAGCTTTATTTATTCCTTTCGCGCTTTGGCGCCGCCGGTCGCTTCTCGTCCCGCTTGGGCGGCGGCGGCGGCGTGTCCGGGCGGCCGTGCGCCCCGCCGGGGTCCCGCCCCGGCCCGGCCCGCCCTATTTCCAGCCGGCGGCGGCGAGGCAGCTGAGGCGGCAGGGGGGCTGCAGCCAGGTGGGCGTCTCCTGCTGCCAGAGGCCGTGGGTCCTCCGGTCCTTCCAGGGCGCCAGCTCCACCTCCGAGTCGGCGCGCCGGGAGTCCAGGGGGCTCTTCCGCGGCTCGGTCCTGGGCAGCCGGCCCTTGCAGCGGGAGCACACCAGCGGCGGAGGCAGGTCGTAGTAGAGGACTGCCGGGCAGAAGCCGGTGGGTAGGTGGGGAAGGGGTCCCGGAAGGGGGGGTTGCTTTGGGGCGCCCCCGGGTGGCAGTCTAGTGCCACTGCAGGGCCTCTCCCGCCCTTCTTGCTGCCCGGCATTCGGACGGGAAAAGTCCCCCTTGCGCCCCCCGGCTCCCCCGGGGCTGGGATGCCTGTCGGGCAGCGCTCACCTTTAATGTCGCTGGATTGGCCCGACGTGTCCTCCAGGCTCGGCTGCTGCGCTTGGAAGGAGACTCTGGCGCAGGAGGAGAGGCCGGTCAGGGAAGGGACCCTCCGCCCCTCAAAACCCCCGCCCCGGATTGTGGGGGGTTGCCCCGGGGACAGCGCTGCCTTTGCTAAAGCCCGTCCCGGGTGGGGGCGGGGCTTGACTCTCTCCCAACCGCACCCCCGCCTCCTTCCCCGGATGTCCCACTTCTCAGACAGGTGGGTCCTCTCCTGCCGAGGCCCCCACTGTGCCCCACCCCTGAATGGAAATTCAGACTAAGGCCAATGGGGTCATTGAAAAGAACCGAAAGCCTCCGAGAAATGGGGTCACCAGCGTCTCTCCGGACCCCCCTCGCTCTCGGGGTCAGGGGCTGCCCTGTCCAACCGCCCTGGTCCTCAGCGGGGCTCCCGTCAGGCAGTCAGCCTGAACCTGCCCTGCAGACCCCACCAGACGATGGGCCAGGAAGCAACAAGCTGACTTTAGCCCGAAGTCAGGAGAGGAGCCAATCAGAGGATGGAGCCTGACCCAGACAGACCCCCCCCAGGGGGGGCACGGGGGGGCAGGGGGGGCGCCTGGCTGATCTGCCCACTTACCTCCGGGGCTTTTCCAGGTTTTGCTGGGGACTTGGGGAGAACTGGGTGGTGGTGCTCGACACCTTCCTGCCCGTTTTCTTGATCACCCCTGGGCTTCTCATCACCATATCAGAGTGCTGTGGGCGGGGAAGAGGCTGGTATGAGATGGAGACCCCCACCATGAGCCCAGGGAGGAGGAGCCAATGCCTCGCTCCCCCAAAGGGCTCCACCCACCCCCCGCCTTGCCTGCAGCCCCATCCCTGGGAGGTGGAAAGGAAGGCGACCGCTGTGGGTCAGGCTTCTTTGCACCATAACTAGCTTCAGGCCAAGTGGGCGGGTGCTTTGGCCTCGGCTCAGCACCGGCCAGGACTGGGCTGCCCCGTTGAAGAGATGGGGAACCAGCTGAGGGGGCGGGGTGCTCTTGACAGAATAGTTGTAGCTCGGGGTTGAACTGGGCGGTTCCTGGGTGCTCTATGAGCTGGGTGGTTTTTGTGCAGACGTTTCGTGACCCAGCTAGGGGACATCGTCAGTGTTTGAAAGAAATAGGGTTTGCTCTGTTTATACACCCCAATCAAGAAACTACCAACTCAGACAATCAAGGGGTGAACAACAGCCTAATAAAGGAACCACCACAAACACTTCCAACAACACCAACAGGTGGTATATAAAACAATCCCCACTCCCTTATTTTAGTACTAACGATGTTACGTCGGTGGGTTATGAGAAGTCTCCAAAGAACCCACCAAGCTCAGAGAGCACCAAGGACACCCCCCCACCCCCCCGTTGGTGCTATGCTGCAAGATTGGTCAAGATCGGCTGGGCAAGCGAGATTCTTTCTGATGATCTCCGAAATCAAAAGTCTCTGCATGAAGCCAGGGACAGAAGGGCGTCTGGATGACCTTCAGGGCACCCTTCTCCTGCCGTCGACTGGTAACACTGTACTGCAAAGTAGGGCATACAAAACCTTCACTAGGCCAATTCTCGAATACAGTGCTCATCTGCCTGGAATCCACACTGTATTTCACGAGAAGAGTCCTCCACTCAGGGGTGGATTGCAAATATTTTTACTATTGGTTCTGTGGGCGTGGCTACGTGACTGGGGGGGTACATGGCTACTGCTTTTTTGTAGCATCCCCCCCCCCCCCGCACTCCATTTTTTGCCTCCTGGGCCTCAAGGAAGCCTCCTGGGCGAAGCAGTAGGAGAGGGAGGGGGATCCCGGCACAGCTGATCATCGGAACAGCTGATTGTAGGGAGGGGGGAAAAAGAAATACCTTAAGGAGCGACTGGGCAGGTGAGAACACAGTCCGCGATGTTGGGCAGGCATGCGGTGTCACCCTTGCAAGAGAAGGATTGGGTGGGCAGGGAGAGGAGGGGCCAGCCAGGGGCACGATTTGCTGGTTCTCCAAACTCTGCAGAATCGTAGCAACCGGTTCCATAGAACTGGTCCAAACCGGTAGAATCCCACCCCTGACTCGACTCCTATGCTCGCAATAGAATACCAGGCTCAACATTTTGGGCCTGGACAGAACTACGCCGCCTACGGTCTGACCTGAGCTTAGTACACAAAATTGTCTGCTACAACGAGGTCCTACCTGTCAGTGACTACTTCAGCTTCAACCACAACAATACACGGGCAAACAATACATACAAACTCAAAGTAAACCGGTCCAAACTCGATGGCAGAAAATTCGACTTCAGCAACAGAGTGGTCAATGCCTGGAGCTCACGACCTGACTCTCTTGTTACAGCCTCAACCCCCCCCAAATTTTAACCTCAGAGTGAGGCCACCCTGGACCTCACTCTGCTCCTAAGAGGCCTGTAAGGGGGGGGGGGCATAAGTGCACCAGCGTGCCCACCGTCCCTGTCCTACTGTTCCCATTGATTCATACTCGTTTATTATGTATAGACTTATGCCTGTTTATACTTATATGTTTATATGTTATGTTCATACTTGTGCTTGTTTTCTCATAGCTGCTTGACAAACCAAACAAACAAACAAACAAACACCAAACTCCTTCCAAGCCACCCGCAGCCTGCAGAGAGGTGGTCAGAGCGGCTGCACCTTCTCCGGGGGGCTCCCCGGAACCCAGCAGCCCTTCCGTGGAGTTCCAGGACCCCTTTTGAAAGCCTTAGTGAGGCCACACCTGGAATGCCGCATCCAGTTTGGGGTCCAGAAAGATGTTGAGACTTTGGAAAAAGTGCAAAGACGAGCAACTCAAAGGTATGGAGACTAAAACATAGGAAGAATGTTCTCGGGAGATTCTCAGTCGTCCAGGTCCCGGGTGTCCCAAAGGTGCTTTTTCTATCTCTCTCAAGAGGCACCTGGACTTTCTGGTTTTTCTTTCTCATCCAAACTGCTTCTTCCACCACCATCCACTCAGAAGCTCCTTGGATGAGAAGCGAAATGTCTTCAGAGAAAGTCCAGGTCCCTCTTGAGAGAGAAAAAGAAAAAAAAACTTTGGGATACGAAGAACAGTTGCAGAATTGGGGTATGGCCAGTCTAGAGAAAGGGAGGACATGACAGCAGCCTTCCAGTATTCAAGGGGCTGCCCCAGAGACGGAGGGGTCAAGCTATTCTTGAAAGCCCCTGAAGGCAGGAATAGAGATAGAATTCTTCACTGGCCAAGGGCGATTGGACACACAAGGGATTTGTCTTGGTGCAAATGCTCTCAGGGTACATAAAAGAAAAGAGACATTCATCAAGAGTCATGAGGTTCAACGCTGAATGATAGTCACAGGGTACAATAAGTAATCAAATCGTGCAAGGAAACGGTCACTGCAGATCATTACGATTCAAGTGAGTCACAGTCATACAGTCACAGGTGGGAGGGGCTGGGTGATAAGGAGTGATGGGAGGATTAATAGCAATAGTAATTGTAGTGGAGACTTTGTAAATGACAGTGTGGAGGGAATGATTTGTTTAGCAGAGTGATGGCGTTCGGGGAAAAACTCTCCTTGTGTCTCGTTGTTCTGGTGTGCAACAATGCTCTCTGGAGTGTCCTTCTGAGGGAAGGAGTTGAAACAGTTGGTGTCCGGGATGTGAGGGGTCTCTAGATATTTCCACAGCCCTCTTTGTGACTCAGGGCGCAGGATACACAAGACGCAACGGGTGGAAACTCCTCAAGGAGCTTCCTCCCCGGAAGGACAAGGGACCTGCAGTGGAGCTGCTTCCCTGCAGAGGCCGTGGGAGCTCCAGCCCTGGAGGCTTTGAAGAAGAGCCTGGACGGACATGGGGTCTCCTGTTGGAGACGGGGGCTGGACTAGAAGACCCCCGGGGTCCAACCCAGCTGCCTGCTGGTCGCGGGCGCCACCTACCTCGGCCACGGGGCTGATGCTGGAGGTGCTGCTGCTACGGCTGGAGACCAGGCAGTGGCGGATGGGGATGGCTGGGTCCTTGGTGGTGGTGGAGAGGCCGTTCTCCAGGATGTTGGCCAGGCGGCTCCAGAGCGCAAAGACGGCCTCTGGGTGCTTGTGGTGCAGCTGCAGGTAATACACCGTCTTGGTCACCGTCTGGAGGCGCAAAATGCGCTGAGAGGCACTGTGGACAGAGAGCTGGACGTACCGGAGGGGGAGCAGCCTGGGCAAAGCAACGGAGGCAGTCAGGGACAGGCCGGGACAGGAGCTCGGGGAGGGGAGGGGAGGGGTGGGGAGGGGAGGGGCGGAGGTGGGCCGGGGGGGGGGGGGGCGGAGGGGGGCCGGGGGGGGGGGGGCTCGAAGGACACTCAGCTGCTCCCTTGGGCAAGCAGTGGCCTCCCAGAACAAGACACACACACACACACACACACACACACACACACACGGTCTCAAAACCTGCTCCCTGCAGCCGGTTTTGGTTTATTAGATGAACTCAGGATTCATGGACTAAACCACGATCCAGGTAACCCCGGGCAAGCATGTCATGCAAACACAGCCGATGTCCGGCACCAGCCCCCTTGTGGACCTGCAGCTACAGAGGCCCCAAAGGAGGCCCTGGACGGTGCCCATACACTCAGCCCTTGGGTCGCAGGTGTGAAACACCCGGCCGGGTTCCTCCTCCTCCTCTAGAGGAGCAGCTGGGGTCTTTGCACAACGCTGGGTGGGGGCCAGGGGTCTGTTCCCACGATCCCACTCCTCTTAGACCAAACCAGCAGGTGGCCGTTTCTGGAGTATTGAGGGGCATCCAGCGTTCCCTCAAAGGTTGGGGGGATGGCGCTGCCCCCGGTCCATTCGGGAGGTCCCAAAGGACCCTGAGTGGTGGGGAGGCCCCCTCAGCCGCTCTGGTGCCCACGTGCCTCCCTCCCTGATCCGGCCCTCCCTCCCGGCCCTGGCCCCCCGTCACCTGGTCAGGTCCATTTGGGACAGCCGGGGACTGCCAGGGGGGACCCCCCGAAGTGGGGCCCGTTGGTTCGCCATCAGGAGCACGTTGGGGAGAGGGAGGCAGGGGTCCGAGGAGGTCACTGCCAGAGTCACAATGGTGGGGGTGTGGGTGATGTCCATCCATTTCCCCTTCTTTGTGACCTGTGGGAACCGTCCCCCACCCACCCGAGACCCCCGAGTCAATTGGAGGGCCAGGCCCCGCTTGGTTAATCCAGCCGGTCCGTTTGCCCCCAATCCAGCCGCCTCCTGGTTCCCACCAGCTGGCGCAACGGGCGAGGGGGCCTGCTCAGCCGGAGGGGCGACTCTGCCCAAAGGTGAAGGCAGAAGGCTAAGTGGGCCCTCTTGGGTCCCCAGCCCAGCCGGCCTCCTTTCAGGACCGGGAAAGGGGCCCCTCCGATGAGCCCCCCACCCCACCAACCTGAATGAAGTTGCTCTCAAAAACCGCCGAGTTGGGGAAGAGGTGGTAATCTGGGGAACGGATCAGCTGGCAGAGCATCCCCCCCTCCAAGCCGAGTGCCCTGCCGACATCTTGGTTGCTGCCAGTGAAGAGCCCTCTAGCCATGGGGCACGGGGCGGCTGGGCTCACAGGCATGCCCAGGCCCTCCCTTAGCTGGCCAGGCAGCAGGGTCCAGCACCGACTCAGCAGGTGGGGGGCAGCTGGCTCAGCAATCCGTGGAACGGGTCAGAGCAGAGCTGCGTGCATCACAGTGGCATTGGGGTGCCACCCGGAGGAAGCTGTGATGTCACACTGGCAGCAGAAGGGCTGGCTCCATTGAGATGGCAGCAGAGCCTGGCACGGATCTGGTTGCCCTGAGAATTGCCCAAGTGGCAGGGAAGGCCCCAAGTGGCTCACCCTGCCCCTCCCCCCGTTAATATGCCCCCTAATTGGCGTGCGACGTTTCATGGGCCTCCATAGACATCCGGGCTGTAAAGGCTGCATTTACACGACAGGCTGACCCTAAACTTGGGTCAAGAAAAGGCCGATTCTGAGCTTGTAGAACATGGGCCACGTTTCACCTCAGAAGGCGATCAGTCCAGGACTCAGCACCCAGCATGGAAGGGAGCACGAGGATCCTCTAGGCCAGGGGTTCCTAGCCCCCCTCCCCCACAGCCCATTGAGAACCGGGCCAGGGAAGCGAGCGGATGCCCACCAAGCCGTCCCCTCACTCTCCCCTCCCGCCTGCCTTGAGTCTGGAAGACTGGAGGTCGCTCGGGAAAGCGATGCTGGCTGGGGAATTCTGGGAGTTGAAGTCCAGGAGTCCTCAATGCGCCAAGGCTGGAGACCCCCGATCTAGAGCAACCTCGAAGGACCCTTTGTTCAGGTTCTTCTGGCCCCGAGGGAGAACCCACCGCCTCTGCAGGGAGACCCCTCCCCTTCCTCTGGTGTAGGTCTTGCCTACGAGGAGCTTCGAGGGTGGGCGTAACCTGGGGAGGGGGCAGGGGGGAAGGTTCCGTTGTATGAATTTGCCTGATCCTCCTCCTCCTCCATGGCTCCGGGTGACTCTCATCTAAAAAGCCCAACAAATCCAGCCCCCCAAACAACAACCATCTCAACAGCAGCACAAGAGGTTTTTTGAAAACAACTAAAAGCCACGTGTGCCCAGGCGCCCCACCCACCCCCAGCATTCAGCCCAGGCCTTTCTAAGTGGGTGGGGGGGAAGGAGCTCGGGGACTCTGCTCGGGTGGGCTTCCTCGGGTGTCAGGCCCGGAATCGGGCTGGTCTCCCTATCCCGGGTCATTCACAGGGTCCACAGGCAAGCAGGCACTCAGAAAACCAGAAAGAAAGCACCTGTTTCTGCGTGCAGCTAGTCCTCAGTGTACATACTTTGCAGCAACGCACGGTAAAAACCAAAAGGGGGCCCGGGGGGTGGGGGCTCAAAGCCTCTTGTCTCCACCAATGAGACCCTCCCCTCTGCTGGGAGGAGTGCCCCCCCCAGCTGCCCCGCGGATGAGCAAGAGGCGCTGGAGACTTCCACGTGGGCCTGTGGGTGGCCGCCAGCCTCTTACGCACGTATCCATGCCATTTAGGGGGCCTCCCATTATCTCAGCCAATGATCCCCCAAGGTTCTTAAAACTATTTCAGAAACCATAAAGAAAGCCTTCGAAATAGGCCGGCACGAGATACCAAAGGGCCAGCTAGCAAGGAAGCCAAGGCAGGGGTCCCAGGCCCCGGGACAGGCTGGCAGGCCCTGCGAAAGGCCAGCAGGCCAAGCCCAACCTCCGGGGAGGCTGTTCCACAGAGCAGGGGCCACAGCGGAGAAGGCCTGGCGCCTGGTTCCCGCCGGCCGACTCCATTCCCTTCCACCTTCACCTGATTCCTGACCCCGAAACACGGGCAGTCTGTGACTCAACACCCCCCCTCCGTTCAGTGACTGCTCCAGGGCACGATGGCACTGAGAAAAGGGCCGCTGTTCACCCTTCCCCGTGGCCGTGCGGTACGAGTCCAGGCGCCTGGCAGCTGGCTCCTAGTTATGACCATTTGCAGCCTCCCAGCGGGGTCTCACGATCCCCTTTTGCGACCAATGGACAGGCCAAGTCAAAGGGAGCTTAATGATGCTTAATGACCGTGTTGCTAACTTTCCTGCAATGATTCACTTAACAACTGTGGCAAGAAAGGTCGTAAAATGGAGCAAAAATCCACTTAGCTCCGGTCTCGCTTAGCAACAGAAATGTTGGGCTCAAGGACTCCCTGCACCCGGACTCCTCCCTGAAGGCCAGCCTGGCTGCCCACCCACACAGGCAGAAACAGAGCTGAGATGAGGGGGGGGCCTGGAGACCCCCAAGCGGCTCCTCCCTGGCCGGAGAGAGACGGGCGGGGGGCTATCCCAGCAGTGCAGCCCCCCTGAAGGAGCGCTCTTTCCTCCCCACACTCGAGGCAGGGTTCTCTGTGCCCCCCCCCCCCCAGTTCTCTGGGCCTCCTTGCCTGGCCTCGACCTCCCCACCGCCAGTCCAACCCCTGCGGCCCTTCGTGTTCCTAAAAGGGCTCCTTCCCCGCTGCTCCCTCTTCCCCTGACTGGTTGTTTTTCCTTGGGATCTGTTTGGGATTCTCCATAGTTTCCACACTCCACATCAGGGCTTAGATCAGAAACTCTGCTGATGCCGCCCCAAACGGCTCCTCTTTGGCCACAAGGAACCACCGACTCTTGGGGTGGAGATCCAAGCTAAGGGGACCCTTGCTGAGACGTCTGCATAGGTGTTCATCCCAAAGCAGCCTTTTTCCACGAAATTGCCCCAACAGTGGATATCCAGCCCCCAGTTACGCGGTTGAAATGGAGTTCGGTGCTCCACAAGCCATGGTTTGCTTCATCCAGGAGGACAAACCAGGTTAAGTCCTGCTTCACTGTTTTGAGCACAGCAAGGCCTGCTCAGGTCTGCCACCTGCTGCAGATCAGCTGCCATCGCGGGTGGGAGGTTCTGTGTTGTGACCAGAGGAGACCAAGAGTTGGGGGGCAGTTGGGGAGTGGGCCCTCGGCTTCCCTCCTTCTTTGGCCAGGTGGGGCTCCTGGCCTTCCCTCTCTGCTTGGGAGGGGGGGTGAGATTGGGAGCTCCAGGTCAGCCCTGCAGCGAAGGAAGGGCTCCCTCGCCGTGGCCCCACCACCCAGGCCCAGCACGGAACCAGCCATGGGGAGATGGACTCGGCCTCAGGCTGCTGCTCCCACATCGCCTGAAGTGGGCCATTTGGTTAGCCCAGTCTGGCCCCTGCTTGCCTGGGGGGCGCGGGGGGGGGGCTTCACCCCGCCCTCCGTCCTTGCAGGGGGCAGAGAACCAGGTGTCCCACCTCTGGACTGGCCAAGGCCTGGGAGGGGGTCACCAAGGCCCTGTGCTCACCAGGAGAAGGAGCAGCCGGCGGGGGCACCCTTGCCCTCCTCCCCAGGACTTCGGCACCACAGGGGAGGCCTCCAAGGTGAAGAGCTGCCAAGGGGCCCTTCCTGCCAAAACAGGTTTGTTTAAACAGTTTGTTTAACGGAAGTAGGAGCCCATCACCTCACACAGCAGGCAAACATGGCAACAATTCTAAATTTAAATGACAATCTAAAAGCAGGCAAAGAAATATGACAGCCCCTCCCCCAATTGTGGGAGAACAATGGGACTTTCTATGGAGGCTGATGAAAAGGCCAAAGAATAGTTTGGGGGCTCCTGTAAGAGGCCAAAGGCAGGAGGAGGAGGAGGAGGAGGAGGGGCAGGGGCAGCGGGGGGGGCAGCTTGGGGGCTCAGGCAGACCCCGAGGCTGGGCGGGGGGTCTCCAATCCCCACAGTCCGGACATTAATTCTTCCTCCTCTTCCCCTTTTGATGCTGGGTGCAAGGAAAGCCGAGCCGCCCCCAAAGCGCAGCTCCCCAGAAGGCCGGGAGGGGAGACTGCAGCGGAGCCTCGGCTGGGCTGTCCCATCTGGGGCGGAGGCGCCAGAGCCCCGCGCTGGAAGCTGCCCGACCGAGGGCGCCGAGTGAGGCCACCGGGCTCCCTTTCTCCCACCCCCGCGGCTAGGCAGCCGGCGGGAAGCCACTCAACGCTCTGGGCTGAGCTTCCCCCCACCTGGAGGGCCGCTCCCTAAACCGGCATCCGGATCAAGAGATTTGCGGGCGGGCGGCAGTTCCCGCTCTCCGCCGGCCAGGCGCTTTCGAGGGGCGAGCGCCGGCCGGCATCGGAGTTAAGCTTCTGGGATACTCGGGGTTTCCGGGCGGGTGGGGGCGGCGAACATTATTTCAAGCAACGGGGTAGAGCTTTGCTGGGGAGGCAATTGGTTGCGGAGCGCAAGCAAAGGAAGCGAGCAAACCACTCAGCCCCCGCCCCCCCCCCGCTCCTCCCCTCCCCGGGCAGCCCTACAATCGCGGGGAACCCAGGAGGCCCCACAAAAGGCCCCACTTGGGGGCGAAACGGGGACCCGGCCGACTCTGCGGGCTTCCTGGTGCCCGCCCGGGCCGGAAAGGCGACGGCTGACCTTGGTGCCCTACCGCGAAACGTGGCAGGAGAAAGCGAAAGGGCGCGCGGGGCCGAAATCCCCGGGCTGGAGGCGAGGCTTGACGCGCCCTGGGCAGCAGCCGGGCACCTGCCGCCGGGAGGTGTGCTCGGGCATCGGGGCGGCGTTGAGAGCGCCGCAGTCTTGGGACTCTGCGTGGCGTCGGAAGAAGCCAACACCCGCGGGATGAGAAGAATAGCAACACAACCGGTCCTCCAGCCGCGCGTTCATCCCTGCTTCGAACCCGGGCGCGCGGAGGGTCGGGGGGTGGGGGTCACTCAATAGGTGACTGCAGCCCCCGCGGGGCCTCCCGGCAGGGAAAAGCCTTCGGTGGGAAAGGAGCGCCCGCGCTCAGGGCAGAGAGGACTCGCACTTTGCCCATGCTCAGAAGGCTAGTTGTTGTTCGCCCCGTCCGGGCCTCGAGGGCCGGTCTGGCCGGGTGGCCAGCGCTGCCTGCAGCCGGACCGAACTGAGCCTGCCAGCCTCCTCCCTCCGGGCCGGCCCGGGAGGTAGACCGCGGGGCGGGGCGGGGCTGGGCGCGGAAAGCCTCCCGGGCACTCCCGCCCAGCGCCACGCCTGTCGGCGAGCGTCTCCCGCCGCCGCCGC